GAGACATGCAGGAAAGAAAGTAACATTTACTCACAATTTTCCCATTCAGAGACAAGCATTGTAACATTGAGGTGCACCTCCTTTCAGCTGTTTCTAATTCCATATACATTTTCAAAATGATCTTTCTACACTCAAAATCTCATCAAATTATTTCCTTTCTTAAAAAGCCTCAGTGACTTCTCACTGTCTAGGATTCCAGTTACCTAGCCTAATGCTTAGCAATAAGTGTTTGCTGAATGTCAGGCTAATTGCATGAGTGAGCGACAGAATAAATGCTTGAGTATTCATCTCCATGCACTCTTCTTTTTCCTTCCCTACTTAGCAAAGCCTTGTCTTAGGTCCTGACTCTACCCAAAGCCTTCTTCAAAGGCCCCAACTCTCATGACAACACCTATCTTTAAGCACAGATTGTATTGCTCCTCAGGTCCTCAGCAAAGGTTAGCTGCCTTAGATTTTTTTTTTCTATAGTTACACTTAGAAGTCTTTCGTGCTTAATTGTCTGTGGACAACATCATGCCATTCCTTTTGCACTCCACCCTTATCTCAGGGGTTGAAAGCTGGAGAACCACATGTCCCTGAATACTTTGCTGGCAGTGTTCCCAGTTAGATTCCACCAAGGAGAGGCATTCACCTGAGATTTGGAGTGAGAAAGGCAGCAGAAGCATTTCATCGCTCTTCTGGTTGAGGAGGCACGTGTGTGGCAGGGGTTTCCTCTGAAATTTTTCTGCTTTGCTATTGTCGGCAGCTGGAATCATCAATGGTGGCTTTCTGCAGTTCTAGAAGCTCTGGATTTTCTAAAAGAGGCAAACCTGAGGTCTGACCATTGTGCCTTTGTTCCTTTCTATCTCATTCTGTGTTAGTGCTTCTTTCTCTTGATGCCTCATCTGAACTCCCTTATGGGCTAGGGCTGTATCCTATGCCTCTTTTTATCTACCTATTTGGCACAGTGCTTTGCCTGGCTTTGTTCCTCAATACATATCTGCTGCTGCTGAGAAAGACAGTAACATCCAGTACTTCATTACTGTCAGCAAAATGCCTATCTTAGTGGACAGAGCTGCATCTTTCTAGTGACTTAACTTTCTCCTCTACAGTGGCTTACTGAGGATGTGTGCACTTGTGCAATGTAACAGAAGAGTGTTGCAAGACAGGTGGATACCTGCCAGTAACTCAGCTCACCAAAGTAATAGCACTAATTTTGCGGCACAATCAACCACCGCTTGAAGAACTCACCGATACTTATTAACCGTCTATTGTGTAGCTAGAACTGCATTAGGCTCTGATGGGGTTGGATGCCAGGGGAAATTACTATAAACTTGTGTCCAACTGCTAAGTGCCTATTAGGTACCAGGCATGGTGCTAGATGTTGAGATAATGTGGTGAATGAGCATGGCAGCTCTCTGCCCACCAAGAGGTTACAGTCTAGCAAGTTCAATATCTGATGGGTCTTACTGAAAAGAAGTAAGGCTGGACATTCCCCATTCCACCGTTACTCTCTGTGACCCTGGCCCAGATAGCATCGAAGTCACCATGTCTACTGAGCCCCCTAGAGTTTCTAGAAGACAGGGCTGTGAACCAGGCCCTGTCTGGGGTTCCCTCCAGCATGCCAGCATCTGTAGCCTCCTTGACTATTGTCAAGGTCAGCATGGTCCTTTCAGGATTGCTTTCTTCCTACTCCACCCTTCATTTACTGCAGAAAGCTGGCCTAGAAGCTCATGGAATCCAACCTTAAATATATTAGAAAAAGGAAAAAAAAAAAAAAAAAGGGCACGGAGAGTGGTAATGTGACTGTTGAAAGGTGGGGTTGGATGAACTTTTACAGAAAGATTAGAGCAGTATTCTATGCCAGGCTGCAGGGTGGAACATATAGGGGATAGAATAACATTTAAATACTATATTTTGAGATTTTCAGGAAAAAGGAAAGAAATATAAAATCTACTAAGTAACTGAAGAGGTGCAGAGGTGGCCATCCCATGGGTTTAGCTAACATTTACTGAGGGTTTACTGTGTGCCCAGCACTGTTCCAAGTGAGTTGTATTAATATTCTTTTCATCCTCACAATACCTGTGGGTAGAAAGGTACTACTATGATCCCCACTTGACAGGTCAGGCTACTGGGGCAGAAGAGAAGAACCTTGTCCAAGGCTACATCAATAAATGGTGGGACTGGAGTGTGAATCTGGGTAGTCTGATCAAAATTAGGGGAGAAATTAAGTTTCCATCTTCTGGAATTTCTCCTGGTTCCATCTGAGCTAGTCTGATCTGGCTACCCAGAGAGTAAGTGCCAAAGAAATGATAACTTTAAGAGGTAGTTGTAAAGTGGGCCTGTGGGTATTTTCCATGACTGCTATGATCTGAGATGTTTATACTCAGGCCTCAGCAGTCACAGTTATCTCCTGGATCTAGACTTCCCCCTCTAAATGTGTATGTGTCATTTGATCATTGATCAGCCAAAAGCATCTTAGTGTCAATTGCCACATCAATTAACTTTATTTTCAAGATGTGTAGCTCAGAACAGATAGATTGTAATGGAGGTCGAGGAGAGAGAAGGGGTCAGAGAAAGGGGGCAATAGGGGTGGATTTACTCAGCATCTGCTGCAGAATGTTAGGGGGCAAAAGTCCCTTCAGAAAAACATATGACCTTGAAACTTTAGAAGCATACCCTTGAAGATCACGATCAAAATAAGGATAGCAGCTTTCAGTACTCCTATTCAATTTTGTGCAAAAATGTAAGAATAGAAAAGAAGGGAATCAAACTGTCATTTTCACGTTATTATTTTTTAGAGAAACTTGTGAAAATCTATTAAAAAGTTATTAGAATTAGTAAGATAATAAAAATATAAGGTAACAAAAATATAAGGTAACTTAGAATAAATCTAACAAAAGATATATTAAGATGCTTATGGAGAAAATTATAGAACCTTGCCAGTAGAAAATAATAAACAATAATAGTAAATGGAGATATAATAAAGAATAAAAGGAGAGATAGCCCACATTTGCAGATAAGAAAACTCAGTGTTCTGACTGATACACCAGTGTTCCCCGTATTCGTTTGCATGAGAGGCCATAAGAAAATACCACAGGTTGTGTGACTTAAACATCACAAATTTATTTTCTTGCACTTCGGGAGGCTGGAAGTCTGAGATAAATGTGTCAGTAGGGTTGATTCCCTTGGAAGCCTCTCTCCTTGGCATGTAGATGGCCAGCTACTTTCTTTGTCCTCACCTGGTCTTTCCTCCATGCTGAGAACATAGCAACAGGAATAAATTGACTAGAGTCACATGTATCAACAGTGTGGCAGACAGATCTTAGGCTGACAGACAGATCCAGGCAGATAGACAGATCCCAATGACTCCTACCTGCTGGTGTCCATACTTTTTGTAATCCCCTCCCTTTGAGCATGGGCAGAATCTGTAACCTGATGCTCATCCAGAGAATATGACAAAAGTGGTGAGATAGGTCTTTATATTATGTAAGACTCCGTTGTAGCAGACTAGAGTGAGAGTCTTCTTATGGCCTTGAAAAGCACGCTGCTGTGACATGAACTGCCTAGAAAGAGGGCCACGTGGCAAGGAACTGTGAGCAACTTCTAGAAGCTGAGACCCTGAGCCACACAGATTCAAGGAAATGAGTTATGCCAAAACCCTGAATGTCTTGGAAGTGAATTCTTCCCCAGCCACCTTCTCCAGATGAGAATGGAGTCCAGGCAGCACCTTGACTGCAGCTGTGAGATCCTGAGCAGGGGACCAAGCTAAGCCACACCTGGGCTTCTAAGCCACACAAACTGTGAGACAATAAATGTGTGTTGTTTTAAGCCACCACATTTGTAGCAGTTTGTTATGCAGCAATAAGAAATAAACACAAACATGGATAAAAACCTAATATTGGTCCAGGTGCAATGGCTCATGCCTGTAATCCCAACACTTTGGGAGGCTGAAGCAGGAGGATCACTTGAGGCCAAGAGTTCGAGATCAGCCTGGGTAACATGGGGAGACCCCTGTCTACAAAAAAAAATTTAAAAAAATATTAGCTGGGTATGGTGGTGCACACCTGTGGTCTCAGTTACTCAGGAGGCTGAGGCAAGAGAATCGCTTGAGCAAGGGAGGTTGAGGATCCAGTAGACATGATGGCAACACTGCACTCCAACCTGGGCAACAAAGTGAGACTTTGTCTCAAACAAACAAACAAACAAACAGACAACAAAAAACAAAAACACAAAACCAAAAACCAAACCAAAACAAAAGATTCCATAATATTGACAGAAGTAAAGCAAGTTGCATCAAGAGACATATGATGATACTATTTACATAAAGCTTAAAAGCACTTAGACCAATTCTATGTACTGTTTAAATCTACCTACAGACATACGTGATAAAAATATAAAGATATGTACTGGAATGATAATCCCAATTTCAGGAAAGTATTTCTTTCTTGGAGAGAGGGAAGTTTTTTATAACACCCTTTTGTATATCTTTTTGTTTGCCCGAAATATTCCATAATTTTGAAAAATATCTGTCTCGAGCTTTAAGCTCCAGTGGGGATGACGCTGTGTTGACAACGAATTTTGCCGCCTTCCCAACATTTTCCAGACCTGTACTTGGCAATAGCATGGGCAGAAGAGCCTGTGAGGTCAAGCTAGGAATAGCCACAGGAGAGTAGAGCTGGAGGGAGATGGGAAGGCAGGAGGCAGAGGGATGGTGGTCTGCAGAGGTGCCTGTGGGAATCCTGTTCCCCAGTCACTCTAAGCTGCCTATATACTCATTTCTCAGGGACCACAGATGGCCTTAAATGGGTGACCTCAGCACTTCCACAAGAGGACCTTGTCATTATGCGTGGCTTTGCCCTTGCATGGAATGGAACAGTCGCCCACACAGCAGACTTGCTGTAATACCATCCTCTGAGAAAACAATTAAGAAAACTGAAAAATAAAGCCCAAACATTAGCAGTTAGGCTTATTAGGGTGAATCAAACTTGTGTTTTGTTTTGTTTTGTTTTTTAAAGCCTGAACAGCATGGCCTTAGGAGGAAAATTTGAGACAGGACACTACCACTACCACTCAGCAGGAAAGGAAAGTAAGTGGATTTTCCCATCATTTTTAAGCAGTTAGTCATCTTCAGGGAGGGACAGTGGGGTCTTTCATCTTTTTGATTTACACCCATGAAATCTGGGAGATGTTGGGATGCCTTGGTTGTGTAAGGAAACCTCTGATCCCCAGAAGCAATGTAGAGGGAATTTCCAGTGCTATATTGGTAACATTTAACAGCCGGCTTTCCATGGGGAGAATGCATTTGCTGATTTCCATGGTATGAATACTCCCACAATGGCTGATTTTTAAGCTACCAATGTGACATCATGGAGCATAATCATCTTTGGAAAGCCATACATGCTGGCTACAACATACCACTGGAGCTTCCTTCATTGCAGGATGTTGAGCTCCCCAGCAAGAGGTCTCAGCAGGGAGCATGGCCACTGTCAGGGAGGAGACCCCTATATCTATCAGGAGCCTCTCTCAGCTCCTCAGTGCAAAAAATTTCAACCTATGTGTGATACTTCTCCCATCATCCTCAGTCTAGAGGGCAGGACTGTTTGCAGATCTCAGGGAAGCTTAATCTGGGGCTAAGTTTGGAAACTCTACTCTTGGAGAATTTCAAATTTCCATGTCACTGTGTCCAGTTTTACCATCCTCTTGAAGTTTTGCAGTTTGAAGGGCATTTTCTGTGAAAACTTAGGGGGTCCATGTTGGTTAGAATGATTTGAGTACAAGTAAGACAGCACCCTTACCCAATTTGCTTAAATGATGAAGAAATAAATACTCAGAGAATGAAAAATCCCAAGGTAAGAAAGCACCAAGATTGATTAACTTAGAGGATTAAGTATGTCACTGAGGACTCAGATTCCTCCCGTATTTCTTCTCTGTCATCCTTTGTCATGTTTAGCTCCCCTCATAGTTGTAAAATGGCTGCCATATTCCAGGCAACGATGACAACCACCATTGGAAGGAGAAGGACTAACTTTTCCTATACTGGAAAACTGTTCCAGAAGCCTCATTTGACCGAATTGGGTCAAACATTCTTTCCTACATCAAACAATGTCAGGGAGGCTACAATTACTATGATTGGCTTAGAATAAATCAGGATTTAATATGAGTCACATGGAAGAAGTGTAAACAACCATACAAAATTGTGGTCCTGCTTGGTAAGCAACTGTCCTCCCAAGAATTCTTCCACTATTTCAATTCTAAGGCTGTCAACTTGACAAGTTGGTTTGGTCCTTTTGGTTGATTATAGAGATCCACTTGAATCAGAATAATCAACGTGATCAGAAATAAATTATGCTATGTTTACTAAATTCATTGACCTCAAGATCAATTTATTTCAAAAGTACTTATTTAGGAGCTATGGGAACTTGGCACGTGGAAGCCACAACTAGTAGGCACAAGGCCCACTGGTATATAGACATAAATAATTGGACTTAGAGCTCTAACCAACAGATAGAATACATAAACATTTCTTTCAGGTGAGCAGAGGTAAATACTTTAATTTTTTAATTTTTATTTTTTTTTATACTTTAACTTCTGGAATACATGTGCAGAACGTGCAGGTTTGTTACATAAGTATACATGTGCCATGGTGGTTTGCTGCACCCATCAACCCGTCATCTACATTAGGTATTTATTCTAATACTATCCCTCCCCTTGCCCCCCACCTGCCAACAGGCCCTGGTGTGTGATATTCCCTTCCCTGTGTCCATGTGTTCTCATTGTTAAACTCCCACTTATGAGTGAGAACATGTGGTGTTTGGTTTTCTCTTCTTGTGTTAGTTTGCTGAGAATGATGGTTTCTAGCTTCATCCATATCCATGCAAAGGACATGAACTCATTCTTTTTTATGACTGCATAGTATTCCATGGCATATATGTGCCACATTTTCTTTATCCTGTCTATTATTGATGGACATTTGGGTTGGTTCCAAGTCTTTGCTATTGTGAATAGTGCTGCAATAAACATACATGTACATGTGTCTTTATAGTAGAATGATTTATAATCCTTTGGGTATATACCCAGTAAGGGATTGCTGGGTCAAATGGTATTTCTGGTTCTAGATCTTTGAGGAATCACCACACTATCTTAGTAAAAAGAACAAAGCTGGAGGCATCATGCTACCTGACTTCAAACTATACTACAAGGCCACAGTAACCAAAACAGCATGGTACTGGTACCCAAACAGATATATAGACCAATGGAACAGAACATAGGTCTCAGAAATAACACCACACATCTACAACCATCTGATCTTTGACAAACCTGACAAAAACAAGAAATGGGGAAAGGATTCCCTATTTAATAAATGGTGTTGGGAAAACTGGCTAGCCGTATGCGGAAAACTGAAACTGAACCTCTTCCTTACACCTTATACAAAAATTAACTCAAGATGGATTGAAGACTTAAACGTAAGACCTAAAATCATGAAAACTCTTCAAGAAAACCTAGGCAATACCATTCAGGACATAGGCATGGGCAAAGACTTCATGACTAATACACCAAAAGCAATTGCAACAAAAGCCAACATTGACAAATGGGATGTTATTAAAGTAAAGAGCTTCTGCAGAGCAAAAGAAAGTAGCATCATAATGAACAGGCAACCTACAGAATGGGAGAAAATTTTTGCAATCTTTCCATCTGACAAAGGACTAATATCCAGAATCTACAAAGAACTTAAACAAATTTACAAGAAAAAATCAAACAACCCCATCAAAAAGTGGGTGAAGGATATGAACAGGCACATCTCAAATGAAGACATTTATGTGGCCAACAAACATATGAAAAACAGCTTATCATCACTGGTCATTAGAGAAATGCAAATCAAAACCACAATGAGATACCATCTCACGCCAGTTAGAATGGTGATCATTAAAAAGTCAGGAAACAACAGATGCTGGAGAGGATGTGGAGAAACAGGAACCCTTTTACACTATTGGTGGGAGTGTAAATTAAATACTTAAAAATATGCATGTGACTATGATTTTCAACAGGAAAGAATGCCAGGACAATTTAATGTGGAAAGAAGAGTCCTTCTCAAAAGCTTCTGGGACAATTGGATATCCACATGCAAAAGGATAGAGTTGGACTCTTGTCCCATGTCATACACAAAAATTAACTCAAAGTGGATCACTGGCTTAAGTGTTAAAGCTAAAACTATAACAAACTTGTAAATCTCATGACCCTGGATTAGTCAATGGTTTCTTATATATGACACCTAAAGCACAAGGAACAAAATAAAAAAAATTTGACCTTATTAAATTAAAAATTATTGTGCTTCAAAAGACATTATCAAGAAAGTGAGACTTGGTGCCAAGATGGCTGAATAGGAAAAGCTCCAGCCTCCAGCTCCCAGTGTGAGAGACACAGAAGACAGGTTATTTCTGCATTTCCAACTGAGGTACCGGGTTCATCTCACTAGGGCATGTCAGACAGTGGGTGCAGGACAGTGGGTACAGCCCAATGAGCAAGAGCCGAAGCAGGGTGAGGCATCACCTCACCCAGGAAGCGCAACGGGGAAGGGAATTCCCTTTCCTAGCCAAGGGAAACCGTGACACACAACCCTTGGAAAATCGGGTCACTCCCACCCTAATACTGCACTTTACTAAGAGTGTTAGCAAAGGGCACACCAGGAGATTATATCACGTGCCTGGCTCAGAGGGTCCCACGCCCACAGAGCCTCTTTGCTAGCACAGCAGTCTGAGATCGAACTTCAAGGCAGCAGGAGCCTGGGGGAGGGGTGCCCACCATTGTGGAGGCTTAAGTAGGTAAACAAAGCGGACTGGAAGCTAGAACTCTGTGGAGCCCACCGCAGCTCAAGGAGGCCTGCCTGCCTCTGTAGACTCCGCCTCTGGGGATAGGGCATAGCTAAACAAAAAGCAGCAGAAACCTCTGCAGATGTAAATGTCCCTGTCTGACAGCTTTGAAGAGAGTAGTGGTTCTCCCAGCATGGAGTTTGAGATCTGAGAACGGACAGACTGCCTGCTCAAGTGGGTCCCTGACCCACAAGTAGCCTAATGGGAGACATCCCCCACTAGGGGCAGACTGACACCTCACATCTCACACGACTGGGTACACCTCTGACACGAAGCTTCCAGAGGAACAATCAGACAGCAACACTTGCTGTTCAGGAATATTCACTCTTCTGCAGCCTCCGCTGCTGATACCCAGGCAAATAGCATCTGGAGTGGACCTTGAGCAAACTCCAACAGACCTGCAGCTGAGGGTCCTGACTGTTAGAAGGAAAAATAACAACTAGAAAGGACATCCACACCAAAACCGAATCTGTACGTTACCATCATCAAAGACCAAAGGTAGATAAAACCACAAAGATGGGGAAAAAGCAGTGCAGAAAAGTGGAAAATTATAAAAATCAGAGCGCCTCTTCCCCTCCAAAGGAATGCAACTCCTCACCAGCAACGGAGCAAAGCTTGATGGAGAGTGACTTTGACGAGTTGAGAGAAGGCTTCAGACGATCAAAATTCTCCCAGCTAAAGGAAGAAGTATGAACCCAGCACAAAGAAACTAAAAACCTTGAAAAAAGATTTGATGAATGACTAACTAGAATAACCAATGTGGAGAAGCCCTTAAATTCATGTCCTTTGTAGGGACATGGATGCAAGCTGGAAACCATCATTCTCCAGCAAACTATCGCAAGAACAGAAAACCAAACACCGCATGTTCTCACTCAATAGTGGGAATTGAACAATGAGAAACGCTTGACACAGGAAGGGGAAACATCACACACCAGGGCCTGTTGTGGGGTGGGAGATGGGGGGGAGGGGTAAGCCATTAGGAGATATACCTAATGTAAATGACGAGTTAATGGGTGGCAGCACACCATCATGTCACATGTATACATATGTAAACAAACTTGCACATTGTGCACAATGTACCCTAGAACATAAAGTGTAATAATAAAAAAAGAAAGTGAAAAGATAATCTAAGAATGGGAAGAAATGTTTGCAAATCATCTATCTATTAAAGGTCTAGTATCCTGAATATATAAAGAACTCATACAACTCAACAATAAAA